GTTGCTTCTAGGTGCCGCTATTAGATATTAGGGGCTTCTGAGTGTCTGAAGTTTGCAATAAATCGCAGACATGTTAATGGTACTCTGATAAATAAATGGCATAAACTGGTAAATTTTGGATCAGACGAGCAATCTGCGTCAACAGACCACCTAACTTGATAATCTCATTCATAAGGCAGACTTCCTATATGACGATCAGAAAGGTACAGAGACATTTACAGAATGTGGTTGCATACATTCCAGTCTTGTCCCAAGGGTGCGTTAAATAATAGTTAATACAATGCGTCAACCAAAGCTCCTACACCCAAGTGCAGGTACAAACACAAACCTTTAAATATCTCAATATTAAAAAAATGGACTTAAACCAATTTCAAAAAAATCGACTCATATCAATCTCCTGCCTTTCTATGGTTCAGACATACGATTACATTCTAACTTTACCCCAAGCCGAAATTTAACCTTGATTTTCGGCATAAACCAAAGCCAACTTGATACTCTCCAAGGCGCCAAACTCACCAAACTACCAGGCTAGATTCGCGGACCTTCGGTCAGCTTCATATGTAAAACTATTCCTAGTAAGAATCTAAACAATTTGCGAGAGATCACCCACAGACTATAGCCTCAGCCCACCTTCGTAGCCAAAACAATCGTGAATGTTAACAGAGCAAATAATAGTTTAAAAATGTACCCGGTGTCAACGAATGAATGACGTGACGACGACTTTATAAATTCTGAGGCGTACACTCCTGGGAGTTGTGAAATCTGATTTCGAGAGCTGTCAATACTCCATATCTTCGGGTAGCTGAAAAGACTTTCTAAAAACCTCGAATATTCCTCATGGGTGAATGCCTAAAATAAGATAAAGATTGCCTGCTGAGGAGAAGGTATTAAGTCTTGAAGTCGAGATGTTAGAGATACGATCATGGCGTTTACATTGCTGATTGAGGTATATCTAGAGATCGATGGCGCTCAACGACAACTGACTAAAAATATTAGTTTTTAATATTAGTTGACAAAATTAAGGATGTTTTTTATAACATAAACGATTGTCTGAAGAAAAAAAATAAAGTCTAGAAAGAAATATATTGGAGATGTCTCTACTAAGCACGGAAGGCGAATAAAGCGTACTCGTGACATGATAAATTACTTTAGTTCTGTTAAAACTCCGATTTATAGAAATCAAAAGCGTTTTTTTGTCTCGACCTGACGCTCCATATTTTGTAATTATGCTGTGTCGATTTAGCTCTAATCCATTGAAAGATCATGGAGAGGCAGTGAAGTGTGTTGTACGATACTTTAATGGATATAAATCAGAGTTTTTAGATTATATTATTTGTTACTGCGAGACTGACTCATATAGACAACCGTCAATGACCAACTAGATTTTCTTTTTTGAATATCCATCCATAAAGCGCATTCGTCTACCAAAGAAGTAGACGATAAAAAGCTGTCATACATGATTGAGTCGTCTGGCGGAAGATAATAGGAAATGAAATATTTGTATGAAGACAATGAAATTACGTTCTATGATAATCAGGAAGTAATATAGGTGAATCGGAATAAATATACTGTTCGAATTCTCAGCATATAAACATTTTCATTATAAAGCTCATAAGGATATTTCATATACACTGCTGTCGAAAGGATAGTTACGGCGGAGTAACAACTATGTTGAAGTAATACGCATATCATTAATATCCGATTAAAAACGTTTATCGTTCTCCAAAATCAAATTTAACATCTTTTCTAATGAATCTTGAGAATGAGTTATGGAGATGCTAACATAGATTTATTCTGATTTTTTTCTATTTCACAGTTCATTTTCTCAAAACTTCAGCATTTGAATCGTGGGCTGTCCATGGAATTTTTAGAACTCGTCTATATGTCCACATTTCAAATGCTCCCAACTTTATTTATATCGGAAGATTTTACTGTCCAAACTTCCGTTCGGAACAGCAGGGCTGATATAGCGAATATTCATTTTAAAGCTTATATCATGACTGGTAAACACTTTTTTGTACTTAAAAAATTCATCTCTTGCCAATTCGATCTGTTATCTCTTTTGAGTAGAGTTGAGTAGTTCATTGGAATTATTCCGAAAAGGAACGATCGGAACTAGTTCCAGCTCTTTAGTCAATATGGTTCCTTTTTCGCCCTGCATTTGAATTCTGTAGCTTCTGAATATTAAACTAAATAGAAATTATTTAAAATATACTTTTTTAATTTTTCATCGAATCAATACGAAACTATGTGATCGAAAAAAAACAGAAGGAACGATGAAAGAGAGAGAGAGAGAGAGAGAAAGGAACTATCTACGAGTCGGAACATTAAGGAACTAGTTCCTTTAAAAAAAGACCGTGGAAAGATCCGTTAATAAGGATGTAATTTTGAATATTGTTAATCGTGTTTCTAAATTCTTGTATTAACGTCTGTGTAGAGAATAGTGCTTTTGGGTTCGATATATTCTTTGAAACCAAACTGAGATGTTCCCATAATTTTTCACATTTTGTATACATTCTGGAGTGGACAATTCTAAGAAATATTTTTAGAGCATGACTCATAAGACTATTCTGTATTCATGGCATTTTTTCGCAATGGTAATAAAGGTAGATTTTAGCCATGGGTAACGGCCTATATCATATATGTCGTTGTATAGTTTTCCTATAAGTTCCATGTGTTCTTCGTAGGTTCTTCAGGTTAGGTTGTTCAAGAAACTTATCTTCTTTCATATAATTGCTCCAGAGAACATTATTTTCCTTAATATCGAATACCGCTATTCAACCAATATAAGTCCTGGTTACGACAGAATTACTGGCAGAATGTTGATGTCGTCGAAAGATAATATTAGTAGACCTCTTGCTACTATGCTAATATATAGGAAAAACTTTTCGGGTCAAGACGATTTGAAGACGGTTCCCTTTGTGTTGGGTGCCATCCGTATGGTCTTCAAAGGTGCTCACAAAATACGTCATATGTTAACATATAAAATTGCCCAACTTCAAGCTGACTTAGTATTTAATTATAAGTTAAAAACTTCTAGACCTGCTGTACGAAAATTGTTCAATGTAGATACAATACAAAAATATATACAAATCTTCATTTTCGAGCTGAATAGGTGTTTTTTGTAAAGTATATATTTTTCGGCTCAAGACACGAAGACGGCTCCGCCTATGTTTTCGAGTGCTCACCGAAATATATATATATATATATAAATCTTCATATTCAAGTTGACTGGATATTTTATTATAAAGTAAATACTTTTCGGTATCCTGGTTCCGCGCCCGTGTAGTATACTCTATGAATTATATTCGAGTGAGCTTCCGAATTTTTATCTTCACGTTGACTAGGTTATTTATTATAAGGTAAATAATATTCGACCACTCATTCCTTAAACATTTCTGAAAGTTAACCCTTTGAGCCCCGAATTTTTTCCGCAATCTTAGAACAAATTTCTGTTCACAGTATTAATGCAACTATCCAAAATATGATATGAACAAAATTTGACATCGGTACATTCTTGAATTTCGGGAGATACAGTATATTCTTTCGGAAAAATTAACTTCCAATATCAAGAAAACCAAAAGCAAAATCGACAGAAAAATCATTTTAAATTATTCTCTATATTCATATTTACAAGAATCAAAAATAATGTTGATGGCAGAATTAGTATAAATTGAATACGAAGCGATTCAAATAATTTGGACTGTATACACAAATTAGTACTGTACACAAATTTACCCTCTTCTCTATATTGAAAAGCTCATAAATTTACCAAATTTTTGAATTTATTTAATTTTTCATTTGATATGTGTCGTCCATAATCAGCTCTTTACATATGAAATCCAACTAATATATATCTACTAGCTACATAATAAATATATGCTCTAAAACATTTTGTTGCCTGTGGGTAACATTGGGCTACAAAGGGTTAAAGTTCCACTTATTTCACCTCATTTCCATTTTTGTTTCTTCGGCTCCGTTGTTTATAATTATCTTCATTTCTTTTATTGTCTGCAGATTCTTCTTCTAACATAAATCCATATATTAAATATCATCGAACATTAATTATGAATAGAGTTATGTTTGCCGAATATTTGGTCGTTGATTTTGTTTAATAACTTTTGGTCTTCTTCTTTTCTTTTTTCAGATTTTGTTAGGTTAGCGTTCGGAATTCTGTTTTTTTTTTTATTTCGGTGAGATATATAGCGAACTATACGTCCTCAACGAAAGAAAGACGCAACAGAGAGACAATACCGCTCGGGGCCATTTAGTTGGCCAAACCAACGAACGAGGTCATTATCGAATAAATTAAGTCCATCCACAGCAAGCAGACGGAGAAGAGAAAACAGACGTTGACGTTGGCAAACAGCTACAAAACGTCCAAAACGCTTTAGGAAGTTGGAAAATTGCGTAGCTGTATTTTTTGTTAAGACAAAGAACAAACATTTGTAACGGAGGCGGCATTATTGTGCATACAAATTCCAAGCAAACCGAACAAGGCAAGGAGACCGTGGCGACGACCACCAAAGCGTTATTGAACTGTTGAAAAGCATCATCAGCATCAGCATCGGTTCTTGGATTCATTGTCACAAGCAAATAGCCAGCCAGGCAGCCAATCAGCCTGCAAATACAAGCCGCGACAGCTGGACTGTAACAAAAACGGCAATTGCATTAACAAAAGGAGGTGGTGGCGGTCGGCGGCGGGTAGGAGGTGGGGTTATTTGTGCATATCTTTCCTTGCCGTTGCTTGTGATCTCCCGCCTACACGCAACAAATTTGTTTGTTGTTACAACAGATTAATTGTTCAACAACAAAAACAACAACCATAAATACATATTTGCATATAAGAATTGGCCAAGAACAAATCCGCATCATCGCATTCATCGTCACCTCCATAAACCCCCCTCTCAGTCAGCCACCTTTTCGTAAACAAAAGGTTTCACATTTAGAACTTCTCATCTTAGCCTCTTCATCACCACCACCATCATCACCCGCTCAAAATGATTTCGAATAAAAAATCCTATGCCATGAAAATGCTACAATTGGCCCTGGCCCTAAGCCTATTGCATGTCAATCCCGATGACTATCTACAACAAAGACTGCGTAACTGGGATTCCCAGCTGGAGCTAAGGGATGGCGATGGCTGGGAACTGGAAATGTTACGGGCTGTGCCCATGGTTGAATATCCCTATGCCAATCGTAAGTCAATGATGCCGCTCATCGAAGATCTCATACTGTACGATCATCAGAGTGAGAGTTTGGCCAATACGCAGTACAATATTACCGCCTATTTACTGAATGTCTCCAATGAAGGTGTCAATCAAACGGCGGCCATGCAAGAAATGCAAGCCATACCTCCACCGTCGGGCGCCACAACCGCTAGTAGTGGTTCGTCTGGCTCAGGAACATCTGCCACGTCATCATCTTCGCCCTCATCGGGTGGGTCGATAACTTTGGATAATGTTCGCAACACTACGGCGGCTGCAGTTAGTTCCATAGTCCATGCGGCGGGTAATTCAAACAACACCAACATCCACAACCTCCCCACCCCAGAAATTGAACTATTCCTCAACTCGGAATCCATGCAAGATCAACGTTCGGTATGGGAACAAAATCTCGCAGATCTCAGTGATTTCAATGATCTACCCATTATGAATAGCCACTATGGCAATTTACCCCTAAAAGATGGGCAACAGGCGCAAGATTCAGCATCACTTTTTGATTTACCCCATTTAGATGTGTTCCTACCCACCTTTGGTAGTTCGGCAAATGCTTTAAATACCGAGTCGGAAGGAGCTGTGGCCTTAAACGGCAGCTTTCCAAATCCTGATGATGAAGTTGGCATAAAATTGGAACAATTGGATGATGAGGACGATAAGGCATTATTGGTGGGTGTTATGGACACGAGAACCGCAACATGTTCCACATTAAGTTCGGATGCAACCGATATTTCGGAAGTTTGTGTTAAAAAGGAAAAGGAAGCAGAGGAAGGCGAATTAGATGTTGTTAGTACGGTGAAAGTGGAAGAAGTGGATTTAAGTCCATTCATAAGCAATGCAGAAGTCACTAAAGAGGTAAATGGAATTTATTTTTTTAAATTATAAGAAACATATTTTTAAGGGGGGTAAATCGATCCAAGCCATTGGCGACATTTTATAAGAAAAAAGTATGAAATTGTATTCCAAATTTTATTTGAAATTATATTATTTTATAGCTTGAAAATGTTGAAACCCATTTCTGATAATGATGCTAGACTTTTTCAGAGAAATAACTTATTCTCCGATTCTTCTTCAATCGATACCTAAGATGTGGCTTTGTTAACCATCATCAAAAGAGGAAGACATTTTCGGCAATTATTGTATAAAATTCGTATCGAGGTGTATTTATAGCGTATCTTCGAAAAGCACACTATCTTCTGTATATACTTCTTCTTCGGAAGAATAACTTATTGTCAGGTTCTTCTTACGCCGTTCGTTCCAAAAACATAATTTTGCATTTTCTGATGATTCTCCTCAGAGGAAGACATCATCAGCCATTACTGTATGAACTTCTTGAGTACTTCCTTACCCCAAGCCGAGCTTAAACATGATTTTCGGGAGCGTCCATTTTCCGAGCGACCATTTTCCAAGATCATTCCCCTTTTGCGTGAACCATCACTTGGCTCTCTTTTATATGCCTATTGAGCTGGGGCATCTTCATCCATTCTCACAAGATGGCCCAGCCAAACTAGTCGCTGCAGTTCGATGCGTCTGAATATGTCGATGTCCGAGAATAGATTGTATAGCTCATGGATCATTCGACGGCGATATTCACCATCGACGTAGATCGGCCCATAGATCTTCCGTAGAAGTTTTCTCTCAAACACTCCAGAGCTGTCTCATCTGCTTGCGCAAGTACCTATGCTTCAGGTCCATTCAGCAGCACGGGTAATATCAGCGTCATGTAGAGTGTGAGTCTGGTCTGGCGAAAGGTGGTCTTGCTTTTGAGTTGCTTACTCAGACCATAGTAGCACTTGTTGGCCAACACAACCTTCTCCGTATTTTAAAATTGATGTCATTAGATTTATTTATGGCTGTACAGAGGTGTATAAATCGTTGACTACCTCGAAGCTTTCTCAACTTCCACAGTTGATCCGAGTCTACTGGACGTCTTGCACGTTGATACCATCAGCTTGGTCTTCTCGCCATTTACTGCCAAACTCAATTTGACAGACTGCTTATCAATTTGTTCAAAGGTGGCTGTTACCGTTCGCAATTTTCGAACCATTAAGTCGATGTCGTCGGCGTAGTCGAGTAACATATGCTGTTTGGTATACAGGGTGCCATTTCTGTTCACATTTGCATCTCGTATGACCTTTTCCAGCAGGATATTAAACCGGTCTCACGACAAACTGTCATATTGTCTGAATCCGCGATGGGTATTGAAGGACTCCGAGAGGTCCTTTCCGAATTTAACAGCTGACATTGTACCAGTTAAAATTATCCTGCATAGCCGTATTAATTTTGCAGGAATGCCAAACGCAATGGTTTAAAAACCTCTAAATGGATAGAGCTGTCGAATGCGGCTTTATAGTCGACAAATAGGTTTAATGAGTCGATGTGTTTTTCGTGGGCTTTTTTCCCGGATCTGGCGAGTGAAAATGTGGTCAATGGTGGATTTGCCAGACCTAAAGCCGCATTGGTATGGTCACCTGCTGCTTTATTATTCTTCAACCGATTAATTGCTATTCTGACCTCATCTTGGCTAGGTGGTAACGTCATCTCTTATTGGTTCTGGGGTATTTTCTTCACCGCTACTATTTGATACCAGAAGCGTTTCAAAATGCTCCTTCCAGATCCTCAGCACGCTATCTGTATTTGTCACCAGGTTTCCAGGCGCCAAAGCTTTCGGTTTGGTGTTTTATTCGTTGGTGCAATTTCCGGACTTCATTCTGACTCCAGTGCATCTCGATTTGCTCACGCTCACGTTTTTTTTTTTTTTTTTTTTGTTATTTTTTCTGAGAATACCTTTTTATTTAGTCACATTTATATTCAGGTTGCTTGCTGAGGTATCAGCCGACAATATTCGATCTTATCGTATAATTATCTTATGGGTTTTGTTATAGTAACTACTTCTTTCTAAGTAACATTCAGTTTATACTACTACTGGGTATGATTTTTTTACAAAACCAAATTGGGGACATTTTGACGGTTATAGCCGTCATAAAAAAATCCATTCATTAGTTTCTGTAGTCTTTAGAGTTTAATTTCTATGTTCATGGGTAATTGGGGATCGTATGAAAAATATATTAATATTCTTAGCCTGCACTGAGAAAACTGCAGAAAAACTGTATGACATTGACTGACTGTATGACCTTTTATGTCTACTTTCAAATCCCAACTAAGATCGAGTTAAATAAATAAAATAAATAACAATTACCTCACTTCTCTTAAATAATATCACAAAATATATTTATTTCGATTCTGAAGTGCATTATAAACACACCTACAAATACATACATACCACTCCATATACATACACCCACACCCTTTGCATTTAGTGGTCTGATTTTCACTATAATCGAAATTGATATATAAAAACATTTTTTTTTTTCATTCACAATTTTTGATTAGATTAGCATTTTTTTTTTTGTTTATAATAATTTCGACGACAGTCGAAATGATTGCATTTGGCTATAGTCATTTTTATTTCCAATAAGTCAATGAACTGCAACTAAATACTGTGGCCCATTGTTTGGTCGTATGAAATAACAAAAACAACAAAAACAATTTGATAATGTTAACAAATATATTATTGATGTAATAAATATATTATTGATGTAAAAAATTGCATGAAAAATTTTGCTATTTAGAAGTCTTTTGGGACTCATTATAAATACAGAAATGACTTCTTCGCGAAGACACATTATTTTCGAGGAGCAGAAGGTATTCTTATGCCAAAAGTCTTCTATTTTTATTTTATTGACATAACTGATCAGACCCTATCCATTTCATCAACTTTTTCATACGTAAATGGCAATGTGACATTCCTATGTTCGTGATAATCTCACGAATTCTATATTTGAGGGTTTGAATCGACACTGAGTGAGTCTTGGGAACAAATTATCCCGGCCCAAACAGTCACAACTTGAGGATGGAAAAGTTTCTAAATGTGAGAATTTTGTCTCTTGACAAAACCACCGAAGTGAGTCTAGATGATTTTTCGCTGGAGTTCCAGATTATTTTCATGAATTGCCGAGGCCCAGTTTGATGTATACACATTTTCATGCCTCACACCAATTTTCGAAGCACTCCAAAATATTTTTGAACACTTTAAGCCTAAAAATATTAGACTACAGGAATCATAGATCTGGATTTTTTCCTTGATTTGCAGGAAAAAGAATAAGTCACTTAAGGGTACCACATTATTAAATCGACCCCGAGAATGGGGGGTCCCCTTAAGTATGAGGCAACGCTGTACGGTGGACAACCCATCAATTGCAGTTTTTAGGGCTCGGAGCACTATTTCTATTATTTTTTGAATTTCTCCGGAGATCTCAGACGAACAAATTGTGTACTCAAAAATTATTCGACTCAATATTGACCTCCTACACAGAAACAAATTAAAGAATATTTCCATCATTTCATTCATAGTTATTTGTTTCCATATTGTAAAATTCTCATAATACTCATAGCCACTACTTTTTCCAACAAAAAATTTCAACATTTCATTAATATCAGAACTATTTTCCAACATCGATCTACTTTTCAACTATTTGCGCCCATTTGTCCTCTCTCCTTTTCTTTTTACAAAAACAAATGCATTCCTAAAAAAAATAATACACCATTCATAGTTCGTCTGTGTTTTGTTTTGGTATCATCCTTCGCCTCACTCCCTACTTGGTGGTTGTTATTTTTCCAACCGTTTCCACTCTCTCGATTGTGACTAGTTGTGCACTCCATTGTTTCTTTATTTCAGGCACTCCTACTGACTTCTGCATTGGTGTGACAAAATTCGCATATGTATTTTCCATATTATTTCAATATAAATTCTAAATACAATAAATAGCAAGAAACGGTACAAGACATTTTTTTTGTTGCTTACCTTAAATTTGTTTCAAATTGCGATTTCCACTTGACTAATAATCATTTGGGTGATTTGACGCTATGAAATCTTAATCAGCAATGAAATGCAATAATCATCGATAATCGATGATTAAATGAAGTGGTGACAAATATGGCGAAAAGCACAAAACAAAATAAAATTGCATCATAAACATAGAAATGCAATTGTATAATTCACAATATATATACATATATACGGATGTCGGTGTATACACTCGCCGATCATTTTGGATCAAATGCAATTGAATTTATATTAAAAAAAGCAACATCAAAAACAACAACAAACAAACCATAACAATCGAGGTCATTTTGCAAAATAAAAAATGCAATTTTTAGAAAAACATATATATAAACATACATATATTAAGACAAAAACATATACATACATACATTGTGTATAGATGTGATCAATCTCTTCCATAAGAAAATTTTTAGTAGCCAGATAGCTTTTGTTGCTATTAGTAATAACAAATGACTTTTTAAACATAACAAAAACAACAAAAACCATGGACATATTTTCAACGAATGACAATCATACAAAAAAAAATCGTTCGTTCATTAATTCATTCATTCATGTCGGCCTGCCGTCACTCATTCAATATCATCCAGTTTTAAGATGTTTAACAGCAAACAATTTTCATTTCATATTTTTGTTATGCCTATTTTTGAAATTTTTGTTGCTATTTTTTTGTGTTTTTTTTAGCAACAGTTTATTGAATTTGTTTGTTCAATTTTTTGAAAGCATTTTGTTTTAAATTGCCAGGTCTAGTGTATAAATTTTGCTCTACACATACAACACGACCATTAAATAATGCATTTTTATTTGAAAATTTATTTTTGGTAATTGTTTTAAAAATGAAAACAATTTTAAAATTTATTATTTGTTTTTTCATTGCATTGATCAAAACAAAAAAAAAATGAAGCAAAATCATAAATTAATTTTCTATGTACTCATATAGGTATGAAGAGAT